CGCAGCTTGTGTGTATGCGCGGAGCACGAGGACAGTATATACCGACTGCTCACAGAGAGGTACGCAAGAATAAGGCTGCGCATTCACCTTCGGCAGGTTCCAGTCGGGAGTTGCAATGGACATGCAAGCAAAACATGTGCCGGCGTCAACCTCTCATGAGAAATGGACACGCCAAGATAAGCTGTATGCTTAGAAGGTTTCGGCTCACGTGGGCACGCTTTTGACTCTTGCATTTTTTATTTTTAAACATTTCATATCGTACCGCATTTGGTTTGTCTTGTATCTGACTTTGATTTTCACTAGTGGGACAGCGCAGCATTAAGGCGCACAAATAAATGGCCTGTTCACTGAAATCGTGGGTGTCGTTTCATAAAGGTACACTGGTAAAGCATGTTACTCTCGGGTATGCTGCCTGCACAGTGCATGAAATGGTGAGGCAGGGAAAGGTGGTACCGAATGTCAGATAATGTGTGTGTGTGTGTGTGTGTGTGTGTGTGTGTGTTATATATACACACACACGCAAGTATATAAAGTACAGCGATTCCTGCCTTTGCTATTCGGCTGATTCACCCAAATATTGCATTCCTTTCAGCAAGCGTAGTAATAAAAGTTCATGCGCCCCTCCGTCTTAACGACGACAACGGTTTAACGCGAATCTTTCTGGTGTGGGAGTTCGTGGCTCATTTCATTCAGTCTATGTCAGCCCCTGGCGCATTGTACAAGCACAGGTCACCAGTTTGTATGACGTGCGTTGTTCCATTTAACAATTAGGCAACAACAGCACTAAGAGGTGTCCAAGTTGCACCAAAAAAAAAAAAGCTCGCCAACGAGTACTTACTTCTTTCCTACCATACGCGAGCACCGCAAGCGGTAATGCGCTTCGCATGCTGCCCCACTACGGCAGGAGCCGTAATGGCGGCCGTCGTAGCAGACGACGCGGCTGTCCTCACCCTCAGCGGAGCGCGCGGGCATCAAGGCACCCTAGCCACAGCTAGACAGCATGCGAAAAGCGCTATACAAGGTGCTTGCGGTGCGCGGAAATGTCCAGAAATAAGCGCGCGCTGTGTTTTTTCTTTTCTTTTTGAACCTTGGACAGCTTTTAGTGCTGTTACCTAAATGTTTATTAAGGGAACGATGCACTTCATATAAACTGACGGCCTGTGCATGTGTTGTGCACTATAGGCTGACGTATACACTTCGTTATATTTAAAACGAATCCTCTTCCTTCGGCCGCAAACGAGAGTTCTGGCAAGTCTAAACACTTAGTTATTTGCCTTGTAAACTCTGCATTCCAAATACGCAAATAATTGTTTAAAGCAGTCATATGCGTGTCAGCAACAGCAGTAGATATATCGCAAAGCATGAATTTTAGTGTTGCGAAGCTGCCAAAGCGTGGTTATGACGGCTTCTTTTGCTAAGTTTATACTTTGCTCGTTTATCATAAATTACGTTATACGTATTGTACACATGATGAAGTGCCGAGGGGCAGTATTCAGATTCAGATCCTTTATTTTTCTTGAATTACACCAAGAAAGGTACAGAAGCTAAAGGTATAACAATACCTGACAAAAGGCCTCTGTACCGGTTACACATAAATATTAAACAACAAATACACAGCATATTGTTCGCAACATACAAAAAACGTTTATATCTAGGATGTAAATATGCACAAAAAAGCTCGATAAGTTCATAGCTCAATGAGAATTTGAAAGGATACCTAGGGATATAACTAGAAAAGGTTCATTTGCACAGAAGTAACAAAGAATATGTAACACGAGAAAATACATGCTAAGTACACTTTGTTTAACAAAACATTTGTCAAAAATAAATAAATAAAATAAAGAAATAAAATAAGTAACTAAAATGGGTAATAACAAAGCAAAAACATAAAAGCACAAGTGCTTCTAAACAAATGCACGGCAGGTCATTATCCACAAAGAAAAATGCATATATCCAGCTATAATAAAATGAGAGCTTTCTTACCATTATTATGCTTACTCAGAGTTGAAATCACATGACACTCGAGAATTAGTGTATAGGTCATTTATTTGTATGCATAAATGCTATGCTGAGAGAGGCAATTACGCAAATAAAGCACTCCATGACAGAATTTTCTCAGGACTGTCACTGGTTGCTTCACAGTGATCGTGCACGAGTAAAAAAACGGCCTACGTAATAAGACTAGACGGAAAGTCAACCTTGAAACACAAAAACAGTGAAGGATAAAAACAAGTATTTAACAACTGCAAACGTATATATATTGGCATCAGATCAGCACAGAAGGCATACTTTTCAGTTAATTTGGGACATACAGCTGATCTTAGTGTGTTGATGCCTTACGAGAGGTTGACGCCGGCACAAGTTTTGCTGGAATTCCCATTCAAACTATCGGCTGGCAACTGTCGAAGGTGGATGCGCAGCCTTATTCGTGCGTACCTCTCAGTGAGCATTCTGTATATACCCTCCTTGTGTTCCGTGCATACACACAGGCTGCGGCGGTGTGCCTTGCTTAGGTATGCTGTAAGTCAACGAAGCGGTGACTTCATCGTGATTATTTTATCCGTGCACCAAGAGTTGATGGCCGTAAAATGCTCTTCATAGTCTTTCAGGGCTTTCATCACTCCACTGCTCGGATATATAAGGTTGTCTCCGTCCAAAACATACTCTTTCAGTGATGTCAGTGAAGCATACTAGTCGCACGCAGTTCCAATGAGAGCATCTTTGCATTTTGCGCACTTCACGGACTTCAATATTCCCTTCAAAATGAATCCTCCGAGGTAAAACAGAATACTGCATTCAGTTGCCGATGATTCTTCAGTGAACATAATCTCGGGATCGTCAATCTCTTCAACTTCGTTCTCGACACAGGCCTTCTTCCCCTGGGATAGCAGGTCTACAAAGTACTCTCGGTCATCAAGTTCGTAACTTCCCGTCCGCGGCGTATGCAAAAATTGGCTTACGCTCACGAGTCTCAGAGCGCACTTGATATCATAGGCACTGGGAACCGGCTTCAGAAGCCGCACGACAGAAAAAAGATTCTCTAAGCAGTCTTGCAGCAGCTTACTTGTAAGAAAGAACTCGTATCCTTCGTCACTTAGGAGCACTCCTTGGAGGCGAACAACAACCGTAGTTGATATGAGCAGGCCAGCTTGCGACGGTTTCCAATGTGACGTGGTACCCATTTTCGTAGTTCTCACTGGTTCCATTGCCATGTGCAATGTATCTAGCGCTTCATAGTACTTGGCCTTGTTTCTGTGACAACGCCATTTCTGGATGCCGCGAGGACATCAGTGCATACCACTTTGAAATAAGCTCCAAGAACCAAGCTGTTGTTTCCGCTTCCCGTTTTAGTAGCCCTTCCTTTATAAGGAAGCGGATAGCTGGAGGAGCTTCCCGAGAAAGCTAGCTGTACAGCGACACCAACTTTCATTTCGGTGAAGTGGCCTGTGCTGGTCTGAACTTCGGACAAGTTTGGCGCTACATTCAGTCCTCTTTCAGAATCGTGTTCAAGTACCGCCTCAACATATTCCACGTTAACCTCGGTAGAAGGCAGGCTATTTTTGGCCACTGTGGCCTCACTCAGCGTGAAAACTTTAGAGTTCAAGAGTTGGCCCCTGAGTTTTTTCAGCACATGAGCCGGATCAGCCACGAAGAAAAGTTCCTTGCCATCCATGCATGGATGACGTATGCAACGTATACTGTCGAAGAATCTCTGTGACTTGAAAAGCCGAACTCCCTCCACATTGCGCGGTTCGCGGAGCCCATGTCAGAAGTGACTACGCGAACATTCAGAGATATTTGACTGTACAGCTGTACTAGCTCCAATACATAGTTTTTCAGCAAAGGACCATCAACGGTTCTCCCAGTCAATTCATAAGCAATGATTTGCTTCCACCTTTGGTTAAGGCCGCCTAACATAATTACAAGAGCGTAGGTTCGCAGGCTCTTGAGGCTTCGGGGGAAGCGTTACTTCTCCAAGAAATGTCTTCAGCACGGTCTAGCTCGAACCCCGGCACTATCTCCATTTCGTCCAAAAAAAAAAGGACGCAGTCCTTTTCGACATTCTCCATAGTCTCAGCTTTGCATTTCATAACATCGATCACTTCGTGAAGAATGCCTGGGAGGAACTTAAAATCTTGAATCCTTCGCGTGAGTGTTCTGTTGGATGGGAGAGGTTATCCCATTTTTCTTAGCGTTTCATATCCTGTTGTACCACAAGCAAATTTAATTTGAAGGCCTTGCTTGATGGTGTACGGAGACGAAGACTTTCCCAAGCTGCTGCTTCTTGAGCGAGTGCGAACTTGATCATCATTCAGAAATTTCAAATTTTGCGAAATATTTGTTGCGTCACTCTCGAGTTTTCACACTTTTTTCTTGGGACTTTGGATTGTGTTCTTGGCAGTAGCATGATGCTGCTGAAGTTCGGTATACTTTCTTGTAAAAAAAGCAGATACCACGTACAATGCGACAGCTGCTTGCAGACTGGCGGGAAGTCGTAGGCTCTTGCTCGACCAATCGCAGCATATTTCGCTCGGTGCATCAGATATGGATGGATGGATGAATGGACGGAACGCGAAAGCATTACTGTCTAACTGAACTTCCAAGCAATCGGGCTGCAGCAGCAGCTTGCGCGATGCCATTAGTGCCATTGCCGCAGGCCACCAATTAAGGGTGCATGGCAGTAAGGCGCATCAGCTTCACTGCTAGAGAACGAAACTGGCAGCGTGGGATGGTTTGGCTGGTCATTGGACATTGAGCACATTGGGCTAATTGCACTGGAGCTTCCATTTTCTAGCCCGAAGTGATGAAAGCTATGACATTGATAATTTTTTATCTAATTATAGCATAACGTCATCAAGCAGTGCGAAGGCTCGCATCTCGTTGGGCTGGTAATTCGCCATCGCCTGTGGTTTTCAATTTGCGATTTGTCAGTTTAACAGTTAACTTGTGTCGTCCATCACTTTAATAACGCAATACTCTCATTGGGATCTTCCCTGTAGGTTTCCCTGTCTACACATCGGCTTGACTGGTCTCCGCCACAACAGACGTTACTTCCTCGCCCTGGACTTTGTCGAAGTGAGCGGGGTCGACGCATCTCTCCCCTACTGCTACACCGGTACGAGCTTGCAAAGACTGTGTGTGTGTGTGTGTGTGTGTGTGTGTGTGTGTGTGTGTGTGTGTGTGTGTGTTGCGTGCGTGTGTGCGTGCGTGCGTGTGTGTGTGTGTGTGCACGCACGCGCGCGCAACAGTATCATTTACAGATAGGTTTTGGAGGAGCAATAAGTCCTCCCCTCTTTTCTTTTACATATTTTTCTTCCGATATCCTACACTGAAGTGTATACCCATGAAATGGTGGCGTAATTGTTCTTGCTCTCTCCGTGAAATTCTGGCTCCACTGCGTAACTAAATGAAACGAGACGAAAGATTTCTTAGTAGATGCTCCTATAAATAAGACAACTGGGTTTCTTATATTTTCGAGCAATTATTAACACCATGTTTCAACATTCCAACTTTTCGTGTTTCAGAGCCATACTACACCCCGAGGCCTAACAACCTGCCGGGTTTACAGTGGACGGGCAACGTGCTCTACTTCAACCTCAACTCTATCGCCAATGGCGGGTTGCAAGAGAGTGGTGTGAGTGCTATATTTCACAAAAGTGCTGTTTTGTACATTCACAAAGGAGTCTTAATAGTTCAGAATGTGGCAAACCACTGGAAGTGCTTGCGTTAGCAACCTTTATTTACTTTTCCATAAATGGTAAGTGTACATACTGTCAACAGCAGAAGTTTGCGAGTTGTGGAGGAGTGGCCCAAAACTAAAGCCTTAGCAAAAAGCTTTCTCCACTGCTGGAGGATCTAAATCTCGGAAGCCGTGCCCGATAATCTCAACACCACGGTGCATGTCACGACTCGCAATAGGTGGCTCAGCAGTGCAGTTTTCCGCCACTCCGCCACGCGCTGCACATCCCGCAAAATTTTGCTGTTGACAGTACAAGTATGTATGTGTGTGACTGATATGCACACAAACTAAAAAGAAAATATGCAGAACTCTAGACATTGTGTTTAAGTTTGGTTGAGCAAAATAGTGCCTGAAACGTACAAACAAGAAATCGATCACTATTACAATTTGCTGGAAGACTTCCACCGTCGAGCTTGAAAGTGAGTCGTGTGCAATGATGTTGTGCACTGACATCACCGTTGCCGCCATGTTTAGGTACTGTAGTGCACAGAGAAGTGCTTCTTTCGCAGCATCACGCTCAGCAAGATGTATCCACTTCAATGGGATAGTTCACAATTGCCCGTTTGTAGTTCGAAATCACAACGAAGTCTGTATGGATTTCTCCGAAAGCAAAGCTTTAGTTGAGGAAAAATTCATCCTGCTTCCGGAATCTATAATCGAACGTGGAACCAACGTCTTTCAGGGGCAGTCGCTAACCTCGCTAACAGAGGTGTTAGCAATCGACCGCGCGAGGGCGAATGAGGAAACTCAAATCACATGGACATAGAATATATCATGGCCTGCGAGATTGCAATCTGCCGGCACACAATGCTGGAGGCCATGAATATAGCGAATGAGTTCTGCGTAGTCCCGCAAGCTGGCAGAAGTGTAACAAAAGGAATTGTTATGAATGAAAGGTTTTGAAAGGTTAAGCCGGCACCAAGATCCCAGAAAGGTGTTAGTCCAGGATCGATCATTGCACCAGGACAGATTTTTTCTTCAATTAAGCTTTCATTTCTGAAAAAACCGTATGGATTTTCTCGTGGTTTTTGTGCATCAAATGGGTGGTTTAGAAGTGCATGCTATTTGGCCAGTCGATTCATGTTCATTAGAAGCCACAGCTGTGACTATTACGCGCAAAGAAATAACAAGGGTAGAGTTGAAGGAGTGCAACTCCTGGACCCCTTTTTGCGCTCCCTTGGACTCTTTTCTCGTTATTTCATTGCAGGAAATAGCCAGAACAGTGGCTTCCAATTGAAAACAGGTGGTTGTCGATCATCCTGTATATAGCCCTTTCGCCTCTTAGCGGGATTCCGCACAACTTATTTGGCATCTATCTACCCACGGACTGCAGATTTTGTGCAGTTTGTGACGCATGTGCTATAGTATTCTAGGCACTATACATGTGCACACATCTCTTCTCTCTCTCTCCCATCGGCACAGACTACGCTAAAGGTGGGCGGGGAGTACGAGCCGACGCTGCGGCTCATCGAGCTCCGGGATGACCAGTGGCCGTCGGGCAGCTCGGCCATTCGATTCCCGCTGCGAGGCACCGCCTTCCTCGTCGTGTCGCTGAGCAGTGAGGTCAGTGTTTCTTCCCACATGTATTGTTGTTTCATATACATGTCTAAAGGAATATCGTATGACACATATCAGGAGAGAGAAATAGATATAAGGGATCTGATCTTGGGGGGGGCCCTTACATGTTGTCACGATCATGCAAGAAAAACTGCAGTAGAGCTAACTTTTCTTCGGGAGAACTTTTTCGAGGGCCACTTGTTGCCCATTAAGGGAGAGGAACAACTTCATTTGAATAAAACTTTTTGGAATTACTGATGGTGGTGGGCAGTCCAGGGCACATCTGGCTACTACTTCTCGCTGGGGCTAGGGCAAGGATCTTCAATTAGCGTCATAGGACCAGCATGGAAGGTCTGACCAATTTGAGTCTGACCTTGATGAGCAGCGTGACGACGTCTGCCAAACGCTGTGTAAGCTGCTATTATCTGTTCGAGTGTGGGGTGTGGTCACAGGACGGGCATTTATCACTACGCATTTTGCAAAAAATGTTGTGAAGTCAGTGCAAGTTCGAATAGGTGCTTATATTTGACGCCAGTCCTTGAGCCTGTCGAGGTTGGCATTTAATTGCCCTAGCTTAATTGTACATAATTGTCATTTTTTCTTTCCTGCATTATGTAGTAATTGAGTGGCATTTTTACCATGCTTTAATAAAGTGATTGGCCGCCGCCTCCAGTGCGGAAGCACTATGTTCGATAACCAGTCCGGCAACCATCAATTTTTCTGAAAGGGAGAGTGGGGTAACTTTACAGTACCTCTGGCTTGGTGTTGCAGGTACCCATTTCGAAAAAGGTGTACCACACTCGGTGTTATGAGTACAGTAAAAGCTCGTTGATTCGGATTTCATGGTGGAAAAAATGTCCGAATTAACAAGTAAACAGGAAAAACATTAAAATAAAGCTGCAGAAGCATACCTTTATTTGCTGAAGTATTTGGTGATTGCCGTCCTGTGTTTTCACGCAGATTCCGGTCGACATTACCATCTTACGTAACTGTTCCAAATGGCCAACAGCACGCAAGCTGTCGGAGTGTTCAGGCAAACGTTCATGCTGCTGAGACTTCCCGTGAGGTGCGATGAGGTCACGGCTGCATCTCGCATGACTCTTCGTCGAAATCGTGGCCTTCCTGGGCGCCCGTGACATTAATAATGTCTTTTTTGGTCAAGAGACTAGTTGTGGCGACACAATGATCAATCGCGATGTAGTCCTGAAGGGTCACATCTGTGAGAAGGGCAACATCGAAAGTCTGGCAGTCATCGTCGGTGGACTCGGCTGACACACAAAACTTCTTGGGCCTCACAAATCCTTGGGCCTCACAAAACTGCTGTGCCGAAAACATTTGGCGATGACTTGTGGCGAAGTGTTTTTTCACACGTAGGTGATGATGTTCAGATGCCGAGTAATACCTCTGTCACATGGCCACCACCAAACTCCGTTGAACACCGTCAACATAAATCTCCCCTAGGGGGTTCGACGGAGAAGTTGTGGCAGTGTCACACGGCAATGAAAAGGTTGTAACAGTTGCCGCAAGGGGGCTCAGCTGGTGCTGTTTGATTTTCGAAAAAGTATTCTAATTTCATCTCTATTGATTTTTTTGTGAATTCTCATTATGCGGTATTTACAAAAAATCACTATTAAGTAGGTATGCGACTAACAAACGTTGACACACAAAAGTCACGCAACGCAACGGGAGAATATCTACACAGAATTAGCCCCTCGAAATAACTGCTTGTAATGAAATGTGCTTCGTGCAATAGCACCAACGGAAAGTGCCAACAAAAACTTACACGGGTTAGCATACGACCACACACCAGCTATTAGGAACACACATGCTTTTCTGCTGTATGCATTCAACAGTGTGCGAACTCGCCTGTACTTCTGCGTGAGGTTGTCGGTTTCGGTATGCACTAGTCGGCGCGTTCTCAATACCCCTCTGTGCAAGAGCAGCGACAATGGCGTCATACACTCTAGCGCTGTTTTTCTCCTCTGAGCTCAGGAAGATGGTCCTCCCAGATTCTAATTAACACTCGGGTGTCATTTTTGCTCCAGGTTACTCTTGGATTTGGTGGGGTCCCATTACTCATTTCTGCAGTCGTCGAGGCAGGTGATGATGTTGCAGCATTTTCGGTCATTTCTTAAATGTCAACGTGGCGTCGACCACAACCACACACATCGACAAAATCTTTTTCAATGGCGCCAGCCGGCTCCGACTCGCGAGGCACGGTGTGTAGGGCATCGGTGTTGAGAGTAAGTGAACTCTGGAAGGCGTAAATATATGTAAACAAACACGCGTTGTGAATGAGTACTACAACGAAAGAATATTTAATATTGCCAAAATGTATTATTCTTTCACTGCGGCCACTTAGTGCTCGAAATTGTTCTCTGACCTCTAGGCTGCTAGGGACGAGAGTACCTCGTTTCGCTGCGAAAGGAGATCGTTGAACGTCCTTTGCAAAATGCTCCGTTTACCTTCGTTTGCGTAAGAGTGGTCGTGTGACACGGACCGCATCATCGTTGTCGCAAGGACGAGGGAGTTAAACGCTCTTTGGGGGTGCCCATGTGACAGGGGTATAAGTCCTCTTGATATAACTTTTCAGCTTCTGAACATAGGATCATTCGCTCTAGCAGATGCCTGCAGTACTTACACTTCACGTAGTGAATTATACCCTGGCCCATCGGCTGAAGAGCAGACGTAGTGTTGGGCAGCAAAAAAACTACTTTGATTATCTGCAGTCCAGCTGCACAGTTATGGGCACTACAATTGTCAACAACCATAATTATCCTGCGGCACGTAGTGAATTATACCCTGGCCCATCAGGCTGAAGAGCAGACGTAGTGTTGGGCAGCAAAAAAACTACTTTGATTATCTGCAGTTTGGCTGCACAGTTATGGGCACTGCAATTGTCAACAACCATAATTATCCTGCGGTCTTTAGACATGAAGTGCCGGTCTAACTGCTGCAGCCAGCCGTGAAAAATGTCCGAGGTCATTCAAGCCTTCCTGTTCGCCATGTACTCGACAGGAAGGCTTTTGATCTTCTTAAAATGGCGTGGTTTATGCACCTTCCCGATGACAAGTAGTGGCAAGCGCTCCGTGCCAGTCACATTGGCGGCAAGAAGTACAGTTATCCTTTGCTTGCACTTTATGCCACCAATGCACGCCTCCCCTTTAAATGTCACTGTCTCGTCAGGCAGAGCTCTGAAAAATGGGGCAATTTTGTCTGCATTGAACACATAATGTGATTTATAAGCGGCGACGTGCTCCAGAAGCTTCACATTTCTCCACTCGGTGGTCACGCTTTTGTCAACGCTGGCCTTTTTGCCGCACCCACTTCTGAAGACAAGTTCGTGTCTCTCTCGAAACCTCGCAAACCACCCTTCTGACGCTTTGAACGATTCAATGTTCATTATTGCAGCGTACTTCTCATCTTGCCATGGGGAAAGGTCCACTCAAAGGCAGATGCGCAGTTGCGACAGTCAGTAATCCACCGCAGCAAAGCTTTCCACTGTCTAGATGCATGAAACTTCTCGCTTTGGAAGGCTTGTCGAGTCTGTTGTTCATTTTTCACGTACGTTCCCAACGTGCTCCGCTTCACGTTGTACTTGGTTATAACGAACGGGCTGTCATGATTCGCCATTCTTCAGTGCTTCCGAAATTTCCACTTTAGTTGCCAAGTTCTTCGCTTCGTACTTCTTCTGCATTTTCGGTGTTCCCTTTGTAGTGCATGATGGTGGTGGCATTACGATCGCAAAGGAAGAAAAAAAAGAGAACTCCACAAGAAGATATGGTGCGGACACGACAACACAAGGGAAAATGACGTCGGAGTTGCAGTCATCGCGCAGTGGTGGAGAATAAAGAAGACGCCGACGTTCGGTGACGCTGCGGTCGCCCCCTCTAGTTGATGATGATTGCGATGCCACTCAGGTTTCGGTTTCACTGCAGTGGTGCCAGCGCTGCTTTACCACACTTTTATGTAGCAGAAGCCGTCACCATTTCTCCGAATGAAGCGGTGCGGAGCCGAATTCTGACGAATTGACGAAGGTTTGGTCCCATATATCAACATGCACTTTGGCCGGGACCAATAGAGCAGTCCGAATTATCCAAATTTTCGAATTATTGAGTGTCCAATTAATGAGCTTTTACTGTAGCTATCTAGAGATGCACTTTTAGGGGTGAAGCGCTCTACACCGTGGGTCGTATGTCCCGCGTCGTTGTAGTAGTAGCCACTTCTTGTTTAGTACAGGATATCCGCTGGATGGCGGTACTTGAAGTGTTCACTGGATGGACACATGCACAGACAGACAGACACAGATAGATAAATGGACGAATGCTTCGCCCAACTTATCATTCCCTCCATAAGTATGCTGTGATTTTCTCTTTCTGCTCTTTTCTTACTTTTTTTACTTCATTGATGCATTCCAGCTTATGATGAGTGGTGGCTTTGGTGCTAGTGAGTGGATGAAAATACGGAAGTAGAAAAACAAAGTTAAGTGCACTGGTACGTAGACTATATAGTTATATTGGTGGGATTCATCCACGTGGCGTACCAAACATCCTACCCTTGTTCTTCCCAGGTCCGCATGAACAGAACGGCGCTGGCCAGTGAGTTTCTGCTGGTACGGAAATCTGAAATGTCCAGGTAAGCCCGATAATGCTTCAATTTCTTCATCTCTGCAAACATAGTTACACGTTAACCACTGTCTACAGCTTGCTGAACGTGTTTTAATCGGCTGCAAAAATTATGCGTGTGCGGTGGTGCGTGTGTGAATGTCTCCCTCTTTACCTTCGCTAAGTACGCATCTCTCTTTGTTGTTCGTTGCTGCCCTCTTGAATCGATGACTGTAACATTACAACCTTGTGATCATCTCTAGAATACGACTAAGTGACTGCTGTGAGTTATTAACTTTTAAGGCAATTTCCTCTTGACTCTGTAAGTCATGCCCGCAATCACCGTTTGTGATTTACCTTGCGCATGTGCCGGATCAGCTTCGGCGAGCTCTTGTAAAATTAAGCAAGATGGAACACTGGGCTAGTTCATGAAGATTCATTATGGCTTACAGCACAAAGCACCCACATAGAGATTAGAAAAGGACAAGGTCTGGCGCTGTACCATGTGCCCTTGAATTTTTTTCAGTTACGTCGGTCACCGTTGGCAGTTATAGAGCGCGCCACACACAATTTGTCCTGATCTTAGACGGCAGGAGAAAGGGGAATACTCAGTATGCTTAGCTACTATAATGGGTCATCAGTCCCATCATGACTGTTGCTACTTCCTCGGGCGATGCTACGGCTTATCGTGTTATACCGCGGTGCTCAGTTATATCAATTGACTCGTGCCTGCAAAAGCAACATCGGTCCCAGGAAGTGGCTACAGCTGAGTTCGTTTCGGCGGTGGTGAAGGAAGCATAACGAGGAGGGGAGGAAATGACTGAAAATTTCGGGATTACAATGTTTGGGTCTTTACGCGACTCTATTGTTTAGTCAAAGTGGACAAGCCTTCCTGGTTGTTGAAGCGCAGGCATTATTAAAAAATACAGTTCGTGTAGTCGGCGTATGTCATATATCTTTCATTACGCCTTGACGCGAGAGGATTCCGTCAAGACTACCGACTACTTTGTTGTTTAGCGATTTGCATACTAATGTGTGAACAAAACTAAACTATGGTAGTATAACGGTGTAGCCACTTTTTTCTTATCACTTGACTGCATCGCAGCACCCAGAGTGGCGGAACTAATAACTATACGTGCTCGCGCTGTATATAGGCTTCTTCGACTTAGTTCTCCTTTTTTTTTTTTCGGCTACCAATAAATGAAAAAAAACTTGCCTGTGTTTGGTCTCACTTCTTCTATTCCGGGGTCTGTCGTCAGGAGCCGCTACCCGGCTGCCCAACAGCAGCAGCAACCGCAGTTGCCGCCGCCACAGCAGCAGCAGCCGCAGGAGTGCTGCCGCACCAGTCCCACGACTCGCAGCTTCCTTGAGCCGACGCCCATGACCCCCACGACTCCACAGTCCGACTGGCGCCGACTGCTCGAGCTGCGCGTGGGGAGCCACCAGGCCGCAGGCCGCAGCTGTGGCGGCAGCCGCAGCGAGTAGGCTGATGCGCGCGGCACCCCCGCACCACGGCTTGCAGGTGAGATATGCCTGCAATTGTGTACGTGTGGGGCCATCACTCTGTTTTAGATGCGAAGCAGCTTTTTGACTAGCCTGTGTAACACTGTCTGTCCATGGCTCTGTGCCAACGCGCCGCACCGTGTTCTCCCCGCCGCAGTTGTTCGAACGATAACAAGCAGGTAAAGTCGCAGCTGCGCGTTGACGTCACTCTCTCCCTCACTCGCAGGAGCTGCCGGCTCCTACCAACACACCTAGGTAGTGTTGCTCCTCTGCCCGCTCGCAACACACTTCTTTTTCATTTCACCCTCTCCATCGCCTGCGATTCTCGACCACATGTTATGTGGAAACATTTTTTCGGCTTGCTTATCTGCGATGACACTTGCACGAAACCCAAGCCGCCTCCCGTATGTTTGCATTTCGAAGAAACGTTTACTCTAGTAAAGGCTACACAGTTTCGCTTCAAACTGTTCTTCCAGCACCTGCGTAGACGCCAGTCTCAGCCGGGTTAAAGGCGTGCGCACCGCTGCTGCTTCGCATCCTAATATGGTTGCCTTCGTTAAGATCATCACTAATTTTTTTCTCATGCGTGAGAGCACATATTGGCGTATCCCGAACCCCCCGTCACAGCCTTGATGCAGAAAACTCATTCTGCGGCTAAAAGTCCTCACCTTGAAAAATCTCGGTCTAGTTTTGTAATCGCTCGCGGCGCGTCGGAGCCGAAGCACAGTGTGGACTACTTCCTAGACGTCATCTTATTGTGGGCTGGTGCCAGCGCTTGTCATCTGAAGCCATCGTGCACATTTCTCTATGAAACCACCTTAGGTGGAGGGTTGACAAGACGAAGGCAGCATGTTTTGATCGGGGCACGCATTCTTTTTGTTAACGTGTATAGTTCACTGAACAGACGGTGTGTGTTGTAGTCAGATCCACGTCTCAAATTTTTATTAGGTGATTTTAAAATATGGGTAAGCAAAGTCAGGGGGAGAAACTGAACTTTATCTTCGAGCTTAGTAAATCTTGTGATGGTTTTAAGAGTGTACTGTACTCTACAACCGGAATAGCCAATCGTGCTGTGTACGTCTGTGTGTGTCTGGGGAAGGGGTTAACTCGTTATCGGCAGCCTCATTACTGGGCGCTGCAGTGTCTACATTTACAATATGTTCTCTGTGGGCAGCAAAGCAGCGTGTCTAAGCCCACCTATCGTGCGGCTATGTGTAAAATGTGGGCTCATGCTAAGAAAACATCCTTTCAAAAAGGCCGCGTCTACGCATGCACTATGCAGCCGAGGGGTAGGGAAGAGTGGGTTGAGAAACACATGCGTCACAAAGCCCCTTTGTTGGAGCTTCGTGTGATACAGGCAGGCTCCCTGCAGCCTGATCTCTCATAGGAATGTGTGGCACAAAAGAGAAATACAGATATACCCCATTACACAATGATTGAAACGAGCGTATACAAGCTTGCACTGAACGGAACAAACTGGAGATCATTGGAAGGGTCGTCCTGTAGTGGGCATAAAATCAGTAAATTACGACAACGGGTAAGTGCTATTGCTGCTAATGTATATATATTGCAGGCTATTCCGTCTTTAGTGAGCACTGCGTCTTAAATAGTGTATGCCACTTTCTGCAAGGGGCTATACGATTCCCATTATTAATACTCACCGAATTCAAAATATCCTATGGCAAAGAGGTTGCAAATTTTACTTTAACCTCCTTGCTATGTACTCGTACGCTACTAGAATATTGACTACTGATGGCTCGCAAGCTTCGCATCTCGAGTTCTTCCCATCCATGTCCGTCAGTGTGAACCAATCCGCAGGCCTTACCTTCCGTATCGGACCCTCTGTCGGTGGGTGGATGCAACGCACCTTCCTCGATGAGGCCAGTGTACGCGTCCGCCAAGTCCGTGATGCACGACCACTTCACCGGCGGCGTGTGGAAGTCGCTCCCTCCTCAGCCGCAGCCAAGCCACCACCAACCCACGCCTCAGCCACAGCCGCCAGTCGGCTCGTGGCACTCGACGTCCCGGCAACCGCACAGCTGCCTGGCGCCGGGCGCGCATCTCGAAGCCCTGCTGCACCAGAATCGGGAGGTGCGTGTACATGCGCACGAATCTCAGCGTAGCTGCACTTCGATGGATGCGGATTAGCACCTCAGTTGATGGTCCCATTCTTCATCGTACGGGGATTTCTTGAATGATTTTTTGAGCTCTCTGCTTGCAACGTATATGCATAAAGTGCATATACGTCGCATATTGTGCATTTCTAAGACAAAACATATTAAAGCCTCCTTTCCTGTTGTTACTGCATTATTCGAACACTTTTTCTAGAATGCGTATTAGTTTATTATTGGTCGTGATTGAATGCTCTATCGTCAGTCACCACCATAACCATCATCCTTGTTATCGATAGGCAGTCATCATCCGTTCGACCCACTGCGGTTGCAGTGGCTAGTAGTGTATATACTAGTCCAGGTTATGGTGCTAAAATCGCCTGATGGAGTCCCGGCCACGGCGGCTTTATGTCGACGGAGCCACAGTGCTAAAGGCTCGTGTGCTTGGAACCCCAGGCGGTGGGTATTTCCAGGGCCCTCCGCTATGTCGTCTCTCGTAGTAATTATATTGCGGTTTGGAAATGTAAACCCCAACAGTTACTGTAAAAAATATTGGTCTTGAACGAGCAAGCGCTTGAAAGCAATAAAGCGCAGTGACCACAATTAAAATCAAATAAAAGCACATTTCGGCCCCTGTAGGAAAGCCTTGTTCACAAGCAAGCACTTAGTCATCACCGGGCTGTCATGATCAGTCATCACCACCACAATCGACAATCTACAGTCATCATCACCACCAGGTCGTTATCACTATCATGTCACCATCACATCGAAGATCCGCACTTGCCTTACAACCCTCTTCTACGTTGGCAGACCTTGTCGTCACTTGTGCATCAGGGCAGCATCTCCCAGCCCAGGCCGCCCATGTCCGACTATTCCGTCAGTCGAGGTGGCTTGCTCGCCCCGGAGCCTCGTCCCTCGCTGCCCCCGTTCTCGGCCACTTCGTCGTCTTCGGCGGCTGCCGTCGCAGCGCACACCCTGCAGGAGTGCTGGTCCCGCGGCGGAGCAACGAGTGTGGCGCCGCCACTGTTTCGCCTCAACTACGATGTGCTGCCCTCCGGCTGCCTGCACTGGCTAGCGCTCGCCAGAAACAGCGTGGTCAGGCCACAGCACGTCGCATCTACCGGTAACCTTTTCCATAGTACGTGTTCAGTGGAGGAAACATAATTATTTCAGAATAGTTGTTTGATTAGTCGATCCTTTCGTATACCTGTTAGCTGTCTGGGCAAAAGACGCAGTGAGCTCCTTAGTTCGTTTGTTTTGGAAACAACGAACGTACGTATTGTGTGTATGTGGTACCATGTCTTGTCCCGCTGTGATTGGCTGGAGTACTCGCCTTCGTTTTGTGGGCCCCTAACCCTTGCTTCAGTTTGTGTACTTCATTGACATGATTTGAGCATGCATGTCGTCATTTCTGTGAACTTTGCTGGGCCCAGCTTTGCATCTCTCCCTCCCCCTGTAAACTTAGCAAAGTTGACCGTGTTTACTTCTGTTGGAGCCATAAACGTTGCTGTTTTGCTTAGCGAACCAGTTACTACAGAAGTCATAATGTAGCAGTAGTGATGGTGGTTATAGTGGTAGCAGTAAACATAGCGAGCGCGGTGCTGGCAAGTTGAGGCACACGGAGCATCCCGCCGATGTGCGCCCACTTGCTGCGTGGTTGGGACGACATCGCAAAAGAGGAATGAAGATATTTTGGCTGCTTTTAATGCAGGAACTAACTCCCTGCGGTACCCTGCATGGTAGTTTAGGACATAATATGACGCAATTGTTGAGCTCGAGGGCTCGGGTCACGTTCTGCAGACATGGCGACCGCTTTTCACTGGTGGTGAAAAACGAACACCACCCATGTGCTTATCTTTAGGTGCATGTTCAAGAACCCTACGTACAGTCATAATTTCTGAAGCCTTCTACACATTTTTTATATTATCTTGGTTTTAAAACTTGTGACCCGGGTGGTCATTTCTTGTTCTGCGCAGTGCTCAATACATGGCATTCCCGTATTCCAAATATCTTTGACTGAATTTGCAGTGTTTCCTGTGTGGAAAAATGCTGCAAGCCCCCTTTAAGAGGAGTGCTTGAATGGTCGCTTTTTACTGTTTAGGCAAAGAAAGAAACTTCTGTGTCGGTGTATTCCTTTGTGCAACTTCTCGCGTGATTTGTCCACTGTAAAGGGATTTGGGTGTCTTTTTTTATTTTTGCCCGTACCTGCTTCACTAAGAGTAAGCAGACACCATAGCGTGTTTGCACCCGCCATCTCGGATGTCATGGCAGCCCCGCCGCGGTGGTCTAGTGGCTAAGGTACTCGGCTGCTGACCCGCAGGTCGCGGGATCGAATCTCGGCTGCGGCGGCTGCATTTCCGATGGAGGCGGAAATGTAGGCCCGTGTGCTCAGATTTGGGTGCACGTTAAAGAACCCCAGGTGGTCGAAATTTCCGGAGCCCTCCACTACGGCGTCTCTCATAATCATATGGTGGTTTTGGGACGTTAAACCCCATAAATCAATCAATCGGATGTCATGGCACACTGTGTACCCTTCTCGGTGGCTGTTATCAGCCTGCACCCTCTTTGTTTCATCTATGCTGTCCAAGTTTATGTGCCTGTTTTCGTATGAACAAATCCACCGCCCAGGCCTTTCCTACGCATGATTAACCAGGCAAGCTGAAACGTGTTGCCCCGGTGTTTTTTTTTTTTTTATCTTGGGATTAATGCTGACATATCTTTTAGAGGTGTACAATTCGAGCTTTACAAGTTTTCGTTTCGTTGTTTTTGTTAGAACTGCTGGTGTCAACACTAAAGCTAGCAGTTCCATGGATCAATACAACCGATGAGCGAAGCTCCTTAAAAATGGTACGCAAATGGCTGTGCGCCTGTCTCGCTGCTGGCTTTCATGAAGGCGATAGGGGCATGGGGCGGGCGACGGAGCGTCTGCTGCGCTCGGTGGAGGGAACGACTAAGCGAGTCAGGCGCGCACGGCGCAGCGATAGCCATATGCCACCGCGTCTGCGCTCGCGGGGAGCCCGCACCTGTTTTTTTTTTTCTGGCCGCACTTGCCCAGTGCTGGGAGCTTCGACGGCGGAATGCGGGCCTAAGGAGCTTCGCTTCTAAAAACGTATATTGTGGTTGCTCGGAACGCATTTGATATACTTCCAGTGTCTGTTCCTAAGAAAAAAAACTACCTCTAGGTTTCGATATTGAAGGAGTCGTGTTACAGCCACGTGTGGACACAGCATGACGTAGGTATAGACCACGTGGGGACAGGAACACTTCATTATTCCAGTGCTTTGTAGCTCGTTTTAGTTATACGTGTTACGTGTTAACAGCGAAGGGTTAACTGACATCCAGCATCTCCGAGAGCGATTCCGCTCGCATCCCGGATGCAGAATTCGCTAATCCAGCGAGCTGTGTTGACTCGTCATGATATAATTTCTATGGTGGTGGGGTTGTCTTTCAGAATTCGAGTGACCAAAAAGGTTTAAGCAGAAGTAAAGTATGTTACATGTGTTTGTTGGCTTCGGTGTCTGGAAAGCGTTAACCAGGCCTACATGCCAAGGAAAGAAAAAAAATCTTTTTTGCGATGCCTCAAAATTTTGTCAGTGCTTCCTTAAGGTCCTCAGTTACATGGCTATGTGTGTGCAGAAATCCTAATCGCTATAATTGCCACCCGCGTTTTTCCTTCATATTTGGTGGACTACTGGTGAGTAGTGTTTGTGCTTGTCCGATTTCTGTACCACACTCAGCTAGAATCTATTGTGTACAGAGGAATTCGGTTTGGTCTAATTAATATAGCTTCACTATATTAATAATGAAGCTTCATTGTAATAATAATAGCGTATTGTGGCAATTGAGGTGACGTGCAGAGTTAGGATCAGTAGGATACATAAAGTATTCTGGGGGCCTCTGTGGGGATATCACCCCTCTCTGCGTCATTTTCGTGACATGCATGCTTCCACTTTGTCCTTTGTGTGTGTGTGTGTGTGTGTGTGTGTGTTTGTGTGTATTTATGTTAATATTGGTGATGTAAGGATGTCACCACTCTTGGTGTCATTTTCCTGACATGCATGCTTCCACTTTGTCCTTTGTGTGTGTGTGTTTGTGTGTTTCTATGTTAATAATGGTGATGTATTGTACAAAGTTATGTGCATCGGTAGTCAGTGTGAGCTAGTCATCGGTGAAAATCTCCCAAATGGCAAGGAATTTTACCCGTATATGTGCTGGTCTCTGCGTCTCGAGTGTATCTGTTATCGCTAGTGATTAGGTGTGCATTGTATAGTACACATGTACCTGCATAGCACCTTCTTCCATCTTATCCCTTCGTTTGTTTCTTCCCGTCCAGTATAGAGAAGTAGACCGACCACGAATTAGTTTGAATTCACTTCCTTTCGTTCTTCTCTACTGAGGGTGTGGTGTGGTGATGCTTACTGCCTGCTGTGTGTATGCCTTAGTGGCTCAGTGAAGAAAAGACAACGCTCATTATAGATGCACGTTACGTCATGGTCGCAGCTTTGTAATGTACTGATTCACTAACTCAGCGGTCTTTATGGCGTAAAGATGGCATAGTCACATCGCATTAACCTGTTTCACTATGATAATGATGCGGACTCACTATGATAACGATGCGGCCAGAACTTCATTGGCCTCTGTGCTTCAATAACACAAGAACTGGCTAGTGATGTAACATTAAGATTAACACGCGATGTCACAAACCTTGCATGTGTAATACAGGACACCAACATGGTGGTCACTGAGATCAGTGCAAGACATTTATAGGTAAAGAGGGTCACGAAAGCAGCAACATGATTTCGTTTCTTCACTTCCCCAGCCCTCGACCACGTGCAGCAGTTGCAGCAGCAGCATCAACAGCAACAGCAGCCCAAGCAAGATATGGGCGTTCAGACCAGCACCACCACGACCACGACCAGCAGCGGTGGCACTAACTGCTCAATGGCTCCCAATCTGGATGACGCCGAGCTGGCCATCAACGATCAGTGCATTTCTCCCAGTGCCGCTTCCTCTTCTTCGCCCCATGGTGGTGGGGCAAGCTTCTACGCATCAACTGCCACAGCCTCGACGCCCTGAAGCCTGTGCCCCACTGGTCCTCTGAATGGGCGTTCATTAAAGTTTATATACACATACACCTATATCTGTATACTGTTCACGTTGTAAAATCACGCGTGTACATTCGTTTACACCTCCAGCTTCAAAGAAATGTTCAGACGTTTATATTTTGTAGTTGTACAGTAGTGCAATTTTTGTATCTGTTGTTTTTATTATGTTGCATATTGAAGGCACATGTACCTAATATTTATTGAAAAAATGCTCACGTTTACACCACTAACTGGCCAGATTGCCTTGTGTTAAAAAAAATTTATGCTTTCTGTATTCTCGTGTTTTTGTGTCGTTTTGTGTATATTTGTTGGGCTCGCTCACTTACGCATTTTGTAGAGTAGTGACACCGTTTTTTGAAGCAGATTTTGTTTCGCCGTAAATCTCCCGTTTACAACGACTAATCTAACGAAGTGCAGAGCTCAGCAAATGCTGACATTTTGGTATTACCGACACCAACAATAGCGTGACTTCAGGTTACAATAGACATTCTGCAGACTTCATGCATCGGTTGTGATGACGTCGGGTACCAAAAACATGCAAAATGGCTGCTCCTTCGTGACATCTTGCGCCGCATATGTTGCGACTATGGTTGCAGTAGGAACTGTAACTATATGTTAAAAATATCTAATCAATTTTTAAGGGCGCACTATAACGCCTGCCAGTACGCTTCCCGTTCTCTTGAGGGCTTGGCCTTACATTTTAAAAATGAAGCGACAATTGCGAAAATTCGTCAGTACCCCTTTAACAGGGACTACAGCAGTGCAGCGCACTCTCAGTTGAGGGTAAGGAAAAGAGTGACGACACTAGCTGTGCCCGCGCGTAGCAGGCTGCTCTACTCCAAGCACCTGGCCTCTTCATCTTTTTCATGCACTCTATCCTTCGTTCGGCGCGCGCTTGCGCCAACGCTTTCGGGCACGTCAGCAGTCGCCCGGTCAAACACCATAGGCCTGACCACAGGTGCGCGTCAGCGGGAGGCCTGACGTGGAGCCGTGGCCATAGGGGAGAGGCCCGGAGAAGCCGCGACCTCTTTATGGGTATAGAGGGCGCGGCGCCGCGTCAGAAAGCCACACGTTCATGCGCTGTAACACGTACGTCGGGGTCGGGTCTTAAAGGGAAACGAAAGTTGTTTTGAATTCGCGAATTTATTGCGAATTCGGTATCCGCGACCACTTACAACAATGTCTACGTATATATATATTTTTAGCCAAACTCTCAGTTTAGAGGACATAGCATCACTGCGGCAAGAGTGGCACTCGTCTGGCTCTTTCTTTTTTTTCTCGGGATTGAACAGCGCTATGAGGAGCAAACTTTGACCGAGAGAACCCCCCCCCCCCCCCGGCATACGCGCAGGGGCGGAGCACGGGAGAGATAGACACGTGGGGTCGAGCCGCCGCCCGACGGGCAACTATGTGCCTGGCCGTCGGCGTTGCTCGGTCAGCTCAGCCTGTTTACTTCGCGTTGTGCCTTGTTTCTGCTTGATCTGCTGCATGGCGAAGCATCAGTTCTGCCAGTTCGTAGGTTATTCTTGCCGTTGCAGTGTTTTCTTCTTCTGGTTAGATTTTCGCATCCGACATTCACTAGTTGTGTTTCTTGCAAGGCTGAGGGGACTGGTGATGCTGAGTTACTGCACGGCCTATGGCTTCCGCAGCACTTATGGTCGGGATGAGGTCGCTTTTCAAAAGTTTTCTCGGGATCGGAAAATGGCTGCAAAATGGGCCGCTGCAGTTAAAAGAAAATACTTCAAACCTACGAGATGAAGCGCGCTGTGGCGGTCACGAATCTGCCGAATTTCGAGGCAGCAGCAGCACTCTTTCTCCATTTGCATACGTGTACAAAGATATCAGTACGCATATTCGAAATCAGCTATTCTACACGTCAGTGGCATGCTTTTAGCGCAGCTATTACACCTTTGTATTTTAACACATCACCAATGTAGTACTGGGCAGAATTTAGAAAACGTGACGGCATTGTAAAAAAAAACAATTGCAATATATGAGCCAATTTATTCTTGCACAATTTTCAGCGCAGTTCAGAGCACATGTCACCACTACGACAAGAGCGGCACTCGTCTGGCTCTTTTTTAGATGCGGAAGCATCTTATACTCGCGCCTTGTAGTGCGCCGTCCGCACCGCTTCTCGAACATTCGACAGCTGACGCGCGCGCATGCGCCGTCGCCCACTCTTCCACCATCTGTGCATCCCTTCCTCCTCTACACACCGCGCGCGCTTCACTCCTCCACCATCTGTGCACCCTTCCTCCTCTACACAACCGCGTTCGACATCTACCATTCTCCTGATTCTCCAAGTGGACGCGCATGTGGCGTCGCGCTTCGAGAACATTCAACAGCTGACAGTGCAGGCGCCGTCCGCGCTGTATATATACTCAAGGTCGGCGCTCGCTCGCTCAGTTGCCGCGCGTCGGTTGGTTTGTACGGCGCGTCGACGTCCAAGGTCGCGGTGAAAGGAATTCCAACGAATCCACAAACACAATGATCGACGTCCCTTCGACCAGCGCCGCCCTTTCGCATACGTGTGGTACGTGTTCACTCATTTAACACCCCCTCCTACAACCACGTTAACCATTTAGCCAGCGACCCAAGTAAGTCGCAATTTAACACCCATTTCACAACCACGTTAACCAATTTAGCCATCGACCCAAGTAAGTCGCACTTAACACCCCGTTAACCATTATATGCTCCGCATCCTCCTCAGTGTTCCCCCGAGGGAAGCTGCGGGCAATTTTTTTCTTGCTCGGTATACCGTACCGATTCATCGCGTGCGCCTTGCCCGCTGCGAAGTACGATACTGACTGCATTGACAACGCTGCACTCTGAGCTGTGGAAATCTTTTAGCAGCTGATGTTTCTACACGCTAACCGCGCGTCGTGCGGGCCGTGCCAATAGGCTAAAAGCGAGTGCCGATGCTGCTGTTTCTTATCGAATTCGGTATCCACTGATAAGCGACGTATCACTTGTAACAGTTCACTACCGTGAAATTAAGCACTGGCATGCATCTTATATGCCAGTCTGTTTCCGACGCGGGTGAAGATGGCTAGTTGGGACTCGCTTTGCTGCGCTGTTTCAGTCGTCGCCCGTTAAAGTGGCGACCGGCTCGAACATGTTTGGATGTACAGTAAACTCGGTCAGACTTTCACAGTTCGCCATACATCAACTGCCAGATTTCAACAGATGGTGGTTGTGGTGGTGGTTGTTAGAAGAGGAAAAGGCACCTAATTTGTGCCGCCCGGTAGGGGGGGGGGGTGATTTTAAATGAAAAGAGAAACGCGAGCCCCGTAGCTCGTAACTGTCTCTCAGGGGGAGGACACCGCGACAGTAGCTCACGATGGATGGGGGTAGAGAAGGGACTAAATGGAGAGGATTAAAAGGTAGAGAGAGCGAGGCGCAGGGACAGCGAACGACGTAAGTAAGGAGAAGACAGGAAGGTGGACACCGTTGCAGGAGTCCGAGGACGGGGCACCACTGGCGAGAGCTCTTGTCGGCGACAGAAGATGACGTACGGGCTAATCCAGTCGGCCAGAGCTATGCTGTCGTCGTCGGGGACAGACGTCAGGAGGTGGCGTAGGACCAACCCAGTCGGCCAGAGCTGCACTGTCGTAGGAGATCGCGAGGGCACAACTTGTCGGCACGGAATCCAGCGAGCGAGTCTGTAGGGAGCACGGCGCAGCGCCTCAACAGATAAACACGGCATTGACTGCCGGCGAGCGCAGTCAGCTGTCCTCGCCTTTCTGACAGTTGACGTCATGGAGAACTAGTTATTTGCATTGGTTTATGCAAATTTGGTCTTGATTTTTGAGTTCGCCTCATGAAATTACTTATCATGACACCATAATCTGGTTTTCTTAAGTGTTTCAGTGTCCCTTTAAGGCCTGACCAGACGTACGCGTTGCAGCGCGCTAGCGCGTGGTTTGTAAGGTTGGCGTCACGTGTAGTGAAGAGGGTGCGCTGAGCTCTGACGTGTTGTAACGCTTACGTGTGGTTAGGCCACAATTGTGCGCGCTTGCGCCCGCTCCGTTCGCATACTTAAACGCGGATGGCCGTCAACAGCCAGACCAGCAGACCGAATGCGTAAGTTCACGTTATTGGTCCTCCAAGTTGACCGAAATTTACACTCCACGTGGAATCGCCTCCAGAGAAAGTTAACCCCAGGTGGCGCCATTATGTCTTCTAAGCGCAGCTAGCACACGTAAAAGGATTAAAATTCATGTTTACTTCGCGCGATTGCAAATGGTACGTGCAATGATCTGCAGTATGTCAGCATATTATCCAACGCCAAACACGGCAGGAATTCAGGACCGACTTGGAAATTATGGAAAATCGCCGGGCGAAGGGTTGCTGGAGTGTGGTGGACATATGCCTGCACAGGGCTGTCCAGTAATGGTCTTAAATTCACGGCATCGCCGTGAATTTTGGACGTGATCCCGATTCACTTCCGCGTTTCACGGAATTGAGACACTACTGGTAAATGCTGGAAGCACCAGGATAATTTGCGGTCATTTGGTGAAGAGCGTCCTGCACAACGACGTACTTTGTCGACGCCTTTTGCTGCAAAGGCCACATTTTATCCCTGAGATGGACTCCAGAAGGTCCAGCTCTTTTTATTCTGTATTAGCCGAGGTTACATGAGAAGACGTTCCGCTTCAGCATTTGAGATCAGAGTTCTAAAGATCCTTATGGCTCCAATGACGAGCGCTTAAAAAAAGGCATACACCAGCAGTGTCTCTGAATGCTATAGTCTCGAACCAAAAGCTTGTGGTGTAATCGGTTGCAGTTGTTGCGTACACAGAACGAAGCAGTCGCTGCAAAGGGACGGCGTGCGCAGCCTTCCGGCGGAATGAAATTGAATAATTTCATTGTGGTGGAATTGTATGTCCAATAATCGAACAGCCTAACTAAATATCAACAGAAATAACTTCCTCGAAACTGCTGCGCAACCTTCGCAACGTCCGCGTG